TTTTTTTTCCCCGGCGCTCTCATTGACAAGGCCAGATAGACTCTGATACTCAATGCTGTTGTAAATTCAATTGCCTGGCCTCACAATGCCCACCTCATAAAAGAGAATAACTCGGGGTTGTGGCTTTTTCTTTGCCGCCGAGCGGGGGTGGGAGGAAGGGGGGGTTGAACTGAGGAAAAGACAGTTTTGCCACCCATTCTGCCTCACCCCCCGGCACTTGAATCGTGGCCAAGTGGAAGCAATCGCAGCCTCTCGCACACGGAGAATGAGCCACTTCCAATTGTCACCAATTAAAAAGGGCCGCGGTGCGGAGAAAAGGCCATTAGGAGGGAAACGCTCGGGGTGCCAGGCGAAGCTTTGTGCTCTCTGCCCCAAATTTGGGAGGTGGGGCTGCCCCGGAATCCGCAGGAGAAACGCCAGGGGATGAGGGGGGAGTGCCAGAGGCATCGCCCACCTCGCCTGGGGGTCTGTGGGGTCCTGATGGCCCCGATCCCCCCTTCCCGAGACCCTGGGGATTGTCCTGGTGGGTGGGCAGGGGGGGTGAGCCGGGTGGCACCAGAGAACGAGCGGATATTTCTGATATTCGCAGAGCATCCAGCGACACAAAACAGGCATTTTTTAAAATTTTTTATCTATTTTTTAAATTATTATTTTAGAACAGAAACGCAATTCCATCCTTCAAGGTCTGCTCCCATTAACAACCGGGGCTGCAGCTTCTGTGTGAGAGCAGAGCCTGTGGCTGCGTGCGCTGGGGGGATTAAAAAAAAAAAAAAAAAAAAAAAAAAAAAAAAAAAGCAGATTATCGGCTCCTGGAGGCTTTTTTACAGCTTCCTGATGGCTCAGGCGCGGCTCGGAGCCTGGTACCGATCCAGTCCAGCGATTCCTGCGCTCCGCAGCGTGGGCAATCGATCAGTGTGAGAGCCCTCCACCGCCCGGGCACAACGAGGGATCCAGCAGAATCGGGAGGTTCCCAGGAGGTTTCGTTATGCAATCACAGACATAAAATCATGTTACAGCAATCCTCCTCCATCCCCCACAGCCCTGCCCCTCCTCTTCTGTCTGAAGGAGGCTCGCAAGAGCAGATGAAAGCCTGGCTGTCGCCTGCCTGCAACCAAATCCCTCCCTGGGGCAGCCCCCGGCCCGGATCCCCCCCTCCCCGAGATCCGGCAAATTCCCTTGATCGCCGCGGCACCCAGCGAGGCTGTGCTGAGAGCGCAGCGGCTCCTTCCCAGCGCAAACACGACCCCGGGGACGCTGGAGTGGCGGCCGGGAATGTCACCACGGCGTCACCTGAGCGCCCGGAGCCACCTCTGCCACCCCGCTCGTGTGGCGGGCAGCGGCCGGCTCCAGAAATCCCAAATCCTCCCGAGGGATGCCACAGCTCCGTGCAGGTGGATGCCCGGCTCTGTTCCAGCCCAAATTGCTGCCACTGGTTCTGAGCCGGGTTTTTTTGGGGTCTGACTGTGTTGTTAGATGAAAGCCTGGCTGTCGCCTGCCTGCAACCAAATCCCTCCCTGGGGCAGCCCCCGGCCCGGATCCCCCCCTCCCCGAGATCCGGCAAATTCCCTTGATCGCCGCGGCACCCAGCGAGGCTGTGCTGAGAGCGCAGCGGCTCCTTCCCAGCGCAAACACGACCCCGGGGACGCTGGAGTGGCGGCCGGGAATGTCACCACGGCGTCACCTGAGCGCCCGGAGCCACCTCTGCCACCCCGCTCGTGTGGCGGGCAGCGGCCGGCTCCAGAAATCCCAAATCCTCCCGAGGGATGCCACAGCTCCGTGCAGGTGGATGCCCGGCTCTGTTCCAGCCCAAATTGCTGCCACTGGTTCTGAGCTGGGTTTTTTTGGGGCCTGACTGTGCTGTTGTCTTCCACCCTGAGTGTTTCTCGTGGTTTTGGTGTAGAAACTTCTGGCGCTGCATTTTGAACTTCTGGGACCGCCCTGGCACGAGTTTCTCCCATTTCTTCCCCAGCTCATCCCTTCCAGGTTATTCCCCTCCAAAGGCTCCCGGGGGCTTTTCCAGAGGCTTCTAAATTTGCCCTTATCCCTTTAAAGGTGCAAGGAAAGAGCAAAGTGCGCGGCTGCCCAGAGGTGAAAGTCCAAAGGGATGCGATAAAGGCGGCCGGGAATTCCCGGGAGTCGTGGAATGGTCGGGGTGTGGTGTGGGAAGGAGAGCTGGGAGGCGTCCGGCGGGGGGAAAATCGGAGATTCCTCCTCTCCCGACCCGAGCTGGAGCAGCTGCGCCTCGCTCCATGGGAAAGGATGTGGGGAGAGGTGTTAACGAGCCGCTTCCAGAGGAACGGAGCCGGGGATGGAGTTCCAGGAGCAAAACTCGCTGGAATGTTCGGCGGGGGCTCAGCTGTGGCTCCGCGGAGCCGTGACCCCACGGGCATCCCGAGAAATCCCGTCCAGAGCAGGGAAAGGCTTCCCCAAACTCGGGGTAGGAACCCTTCCCAGCTCCTGGGCCTGCCCAGATCATCAGGGAAAAGGAAAAATCCCTGGAAAATCGAGGTTTTGGATGAGAGTTTCCCCCTTCCCAGCTCCTGGGCCTGCCCAGATCATCAGGGAAAAGGAAAAATCCCTGGAAAATCGAGGTTTTGGATGAGAGTTTTCCCCTTCCCAGCTCCTGGGCCTGCCCTGGTCACCAGGGAAAAGGAAAAACCCCTGGAAAATCGAGGTTCTGGATGAGACTTTTTACCTTTCTGTCTCCTGGGCCTGCCCAGATCATCAGGGAAAAGGAAAAACCCCTGGAAAATCGAGGTTCTGGATGAGGCTTTTCCCCTTCCCAGCTCCTGGGCCTGCTCAGGTCACAGGGAAAAAGGAAAAACCCCGGGAAAATCGAGGTTCTGGATGAGAGTTTTCCCCTTCCCAGCTCCTGGGCCTGCCCTGGTCACCAGGGAAAAGGAAAAACCCCTGGAAAATCGAGGTTCTGGATGAGACTTTTCCCCTTCCCAGCTCCTCTCCTGGTGCCTTTGGGTTCTGCTTCCCAGTTTCCCACCCAACAGGGGCTTGGGAGAGCTTCAAGGCTCCTTTCAAGCCGACCCACTCCATCCATGATCCAGTGACTCTTTCTGGGATTATCCTCCTGCCTCCCACGGCATTTCCTCACCCTCTGCCTCCAGCAGCCACGTCTCCATCCCTTCCCTGCCCGGGAGGGGCTGGAAAAGGGGGCACAACCATCTCCCCCTTCCCACATTTCCAGTATTTCCCACATTTCCCGTATTTCCCACATTTCCCTAGGGAGGTGGGAAAGGGTCACAGAGGGACGGGGGCTCCGGGGCTGTGTCCCTGATATTCCAAAGGCTCCTAATGAGGGGGATGAAGGCATCCCCGAGCCCCAGGGCAATCCCGGAGCCCCCGGGAGGAGCAGGAGGAGGAGGAGGAGGAGCGGGAGCCCGGCTCAATGGACGCGGGCAGCTTTACTCGGGCTGTTAAGCTGATTAATTGAAATGAAGTTCCTCCCGAGCCTCGGCGCGTTCTTTGAGGTCAGGGTCACCGCACTGAGACGCTTAATCAGATCTTCCCATTTAGCCCCTCTTAGCCTGGCAGGGCTGGAATGCGGCCCTTTCAAAGCCGGGCTCTTGGCGCCAAATTCCTGCTCTATCTCCCTCTCCCATTCCCCGGGAGCATCAAATCCACCATCAGGAAATCAAATCCAACGCCGCCGACCCGGCTCAGGTGAGGTTTCCACTGCCGGAGCCGCTAGGAAAGGAAATAAAATAAAATATCAAATCAGCTGGCAGGTTGATGCCGTGGATTCTGTGGTTCTGGGGCTCTTCTCCATCTGTTTCTTATTTTATTTATTTATTTTTTTTCCGTGGAAAAGCAGAATTGGGAGCAGCAGAGCTTCTCCCAGGCAAATATTTGTAAACAGCCTGGTTTCCAGAGGAGGGGAGGATTCCAAGGCCGAGCACAAAAATAGAGCAGAGCAGATGGAGAAGAGCCCCAGAACCCGCGGAGGCTCAGCAAAGAGCAGCCCGAGTGGTTTTTGGCAGCGTTTGGGTGCTAAACCAGCAGCGAATCCCGAGCTCGGGAGCTCTGCTGGGATTTCCCAGATCCTCCGGGAGCACCGGGGGCAGGGGAGGGAATGCTGAGCTCAGGGGGGTGAAGGCAAAACCTTCCCCAGACCCCAAAATCAATCAGCAGCAGCAGGAGCTGAACCGAGCTCCGGTTCTGGAAGCAGCCCCTGGTTTGCAGGTTGCTCATTAAAGCTGTTTCCATGTCCAGAGACCCCAGGATAAATCCAGATAAAACCAGGCTGCTCACCCGGGGCAGTTCCCAGGTTTTCTCTGGGAAGACAAAACAGGATCAGCTGGGAGAGGGAGGCTCAGATTGTGACCTTGGGTTGGTGTAACTCGGTTTAAAACCTGTCCCCTCGCACAGGAGGAGGCCAAAAAATGACCCCAAACCCCCCGTTTTCTCTTCGGGAATCCTAAAGCAAAGCCCTGACCCAGAGGGACGTGCAGTGTGATCCCAGGGTTTTCCAGGGAGCAATGGAATAAAGCCACAGGGACGCTGATTTAATCAGAATATTGCCAATTTTCACCCCTCCTGCTCCTGTTCCTGCTCCCCTCGCTGCTCCTGGTGTTCCCACTTGTGGAATGTGGGCAAACCCGAGCTCCTGGGGTCTGTAGGATCCCCCTTTATCCTCCAGCATCCCAGGATTGGGGGGCACAGAAGGGAGAAGGGGGAACAAACCCAGCTGCTGAGCAAAGCTCCTGGTGGCACCCAGAAAAATCACGGATTTTTTTTTAGCATATATTGCTTTTTTTTTTAGCATATATTGCTTTTTGAGCTTTCCCCACTATAATCCAGCCGGGAATTCTTTTTCCACCGGTGCTGAGCATGGAAAGCTCTGTGTTTTTTTTTGGGGGGGGAGCACGAGGCAGAGCTTGGAGAGGCCCCGGGGTGCTTTATTTAACTCCAGCCACGCTCAGCCACGTCCACTGCCGGGTATTTTTAGTGGGCACCAAAGGGCAGCGAGCTGGCCGGGAAGAGGGGGAGCTGGGCAGCCTTGGAGCAGCTCCACACGATGGGAAAGGGTGAAACGGCCCTGAGGAGAGGCTGGCTGGGCTGGTGTCACCGCCAAGGTGACCTGGGGACAAGGCAGGGTGTTTACAAGGCTCGCAGTGCCCCGGCCCCGGGCGGCAGGAGGGGGAAGCTGCCCGTGCCCCTGGCAGGGAGATTCTGCAAGGACAAGGTCAGTGCAGGAACGAGAGGGACAGGGACATCCCACGGGAGCTTCTCCTTGCTTCCCTTTGCTTTTCTTCCTTGTTTCTCATTGCTCTTCTTCCTTGTTCCCCATTGCTTTTCTTCCTTCTTTCCCATTGCTTTTTGGCTTTCGTTCTCATTGCTTTTCTTCCTTCTTTCTCATTGCATTTCTTCTTTCCATTGATTTTCTTCCTTCTTTCCACTGATTTTCTTCCTTATTTCCATTGCTTTTCTTCCTTCTTTCTCATTGCATTTCTTCCTTCTTTCCACTGATTTTCTTCCTTCTTTCCATTGATTTTCTTCCTTCTTTCCATTGATTTTCTTCCTTTTTCCCCATTGCTTTTTCTCCTTCTTTACCATGGTTTTTCTTCCCTCCTTCCTATTGTTTTTCCTCTTTCTTTCCCACTGCTTTTCTTCCTTATTTCCCATTGCATTTCTTCCTTCTTTCCATTGATTTTCTTCCTTTTTCCCCATTGCTTTTTCTCCTTCTTTACCATTGTTTTTCTTCCCTCCTTCCTATTGTTTTTCCTCTTTCTTTCCCATTGCTTTTCCTCCTTATTTCCCATTGCTTTTCTTCCTTCTTTCCATTGATTTTCTTCCTTTTTCCCCATTGCTTTTTCTCCTTCTTTACCATTGTTTTTCTTCCCTTCTTCTTATTGTTTTTCCTCTTTATTTCCCATTGCTTTTCCTCTTTCTTTCCCACTGCTTTTCTTCCTTCTTTCCATTGATTTTCTTCCTCCTTTCCCGTGGTTTTTTCTCATTCTTTCCCATTGCTTTTCTTCCTTTTTCCCCATTGCTTTTTCTCCTTCTTTACCATTGTTTTTCTTCCCTCCTTCTTATTGCTTTTCCTCTTTATTTCCCATTGTTTTTCTTCCTTCTTTCCCATTGTTTTTTTCTTCCTTTCCAACTTCTTTTCTTGCTTCTTCCCCATTGTGTTTCCTCTTTCTTTCCCATTGCTTTTCTTGCTTTTTCTCCATTGCTTTTCTTCCTTTTTCCCCATTGTTTTTCTTCCTTTCCCCCCATTGCTTTTCCTCTTTCTTTCCCATTGTTTTTCTTCCTTCTTTCCCATTGCTTTTCCTCTTTCTTTCCCATTGCTTTTCCTCTTTCTTTCCCATTGCTTTTCTTCCTTCTTTCCCCTTGCTTTTCTTCTTCCCCACCACTGCTAAAACCCCTGGCGAATCTCTGCTCTCAGAACCACAAAATCCTGGAATATCCAGAGCAGGATCATCGATTTCCCTCCCATTCTCTGCATGCTGCCTCAAAAATCCCCCCCAGGGAATTGGGGCAGGGGACGGAAATTCCCATTTTCCACGTGCTGCCCCTCCAGGATTCCTCAGCCCCAAACCCACCCCCCTGCACCCCCTCTGCCCTGTCAGATCCCATCTCCCAGCCGGGCAGGGATGTGCAGGAAGGGCTGGGATGAAGCTGATAATGAATGGATGCTGGAAGTCTCGCAGTGCTGACCTGTCAGGCCGGGCTGGGATGACACATTCGGAGATAACAACCCGGGCTGTCAGTCAGAGCAGAGCCTGACGTGACAGCTCTGCCTGACAACAGCTCTGACTGACAGCTGGAGGGATTGCAGCCTCTGGAATGGGAGCAGGGCTCCTCTCCAGCCTTTGGAAGGGTTTAAAAGCCAGGAGAGGTTGTTGGGCTGAGCACCTCGTGCTGGTAATTCCTGTGGGGAATATTCAGGGCTGGGTTGTGGGAGCTGTTGGGGCTCCCTGGTGGAAATCCCCAATTCTCTGATGGTGTCTCACCAGAGATCCTTCACCCTGCAAGGAGATGCCTCCCAATTTCCAGGTCTGGCAGCTCCCCAAAATCTGAGCAGCCAGCTCTGTCCCCTGGGCTGCGTCCTGCTCCTGGGTCCCCTTTGTCCCCTGCTCCTTTGTCCCCAGCTCTGCCGGGGCAGCTCCATGGCCAGAGGGGGAAATTTGGGGAGCACAAATCCCCTGGAGCAGCGGCTGCTCCTGCTCCTTTTGGCCCCAGGGCTGGAGCAGAGCTCAGAAACTCCACCTGGAATCCCGGGTTAGAGCCGGGAGTGCAGGGAACCACGGAATCCCTAAAGCTGGAAAAGAAATTCCCCCATCCCACCATCAGCCCGGCACTGCCAGGCCAGGCAGAGCACTAAACATTGTCCCCAGATGTCACACCCACCGTGGTTTTGGAGCGCTCTCAGGGGTGGGGATTCCACCACTGCCCGGGGCAATCTGATCCAGTGCCTGCCCATCCTTCCAGGGGAGTTTTCCCCTCATATCCAACCCAAAGCTCCTCTGGCGCAACTTGAGGATTTTTCTTTTTCTTTTTTTTTTTTTTTTAATTTTTAAAAAATTTATTTAATTTTTAATTTTTCTTAGAATTTTTCCTCCACTGCCCGGGGCAATCTGATCCAGTGCCTGCCCATCCTTCCAGGGGAGTTTTCCCCTCATATCCAACCCAAAGCTCCTCTGGCGCAACTTGAGGATTTTTTTTTTCTTTTTTTCTTTTTTTAAAATTTTATCTATTTTTTAATTTTTTCTTAGGATTTTTCCTTTTTTCTTAGGATTTTTCCTTTTTTTTCTTTAAGGATTTTTCCTCTTTTTTTTTTTTTTTTTCTCCTTTCCTTTTTTTTTTTTTTTTTTTTTAATTTTTAAAAAATTTATTTAATTTTTAATTTTTCTTAGAATTTTTCCTTTTTTCTTAGGATTTTTCCTCTTTTTTCTTTAAGGATTTTTCCTTTTTTATTTTTTCTGATTTTTTTTTCTCCTTTTTTTCTTCTTTTTTTTTCTTCTTTTTTTCTTCTTTTCTTCTTCTTTTTTTCTTCTTTTTTTCCCCTTTCTTCTTTTTATTTTATGTTAATTTTTTAAAAAAATTTTTTTAAAGATTGCTCCCATTCTCCTCTCCAGTAGGAGAGGCTCGAATCTGCAACCCCAGTAGGGAAGCACAATTCAGGCACCCAATTCCAGCCATTCCTGCGTGTTTTCCCGGCACTACCCCTGCTGCAGCTGCACCCAGCTCTCTTCCAACCCTCTCTCCATCATCCCCCATCCCCTCTCCCTCTGCCCTGAACCCTCTCAGCTATTTCCAGCCACCGTCCCAGGATGGGCAGGGCAGGCCAAGCCAGCTGCTGAATCACCGGCAGGCCGAGGCACGCTCCGAGCCGTGCCTTTAGGGAAATTATTCATCTTCTCCTTGTGCCCGGCTTCCCCCGGCCATGCTGCTTCATCCCCGGAGCTGCGGGGCTGGGAGCGGCCCCGGGGCAGCAGCCTGGGAAAGCGGGAGCTGCCAGGATGCTTTTCACGGAGTTATTGCGACAGCCCGGCGCGGGTTTCGCCTCCTCCCCAGCACGGCAGGAGGGCAGGGATGGAGACAGGCGCTGGGGGAAAGGCGGCTGAGCTGGAGCTGGGCAGACGCGTGCCCGCCGTGCCCCGGGCTGGCGACAGCCGGGAGCCACCCAGGGAGGAGCCCCGGCGGCCGGGGATTGGGGAATGGGCGGGGGAAGGGGGATTTGGGATGGGTTTGGGGCTCTGGAGAGAGGAGTCGGAGGGGAGAGGGGAAAAAAAGGGGGCTGGGTGCTCAGGGAGAGGCGCCCCCGGCCCCTCTGTGGCTGCTAAATCCATTTATTATGTCAGGGAATCAGGGAGAGCTTCCCTAGGGATGAGGCAGATCCTGGGTGGGGCTGAGCCCCTCGCCCTGCAAGGATTTGGGATAGCTGGGTGCCCTCCAAATCCACCCATTTCTGTGTCAGGGAAACAGGGAATGTTTCCCAAGGGATGAGGCAGATCCTGAGTGGGGCTGAGCCCCTCACCCTGCAGGGATTTGGGATGGCTGGGTGCCCTCCAAATCCACCCATTTCTGTGTCAGGAAATTAGGGAACACTTTAGGCTGCGAAATCCATTTATTATGTCAGGAAATCAGGGAGAGCTTCCCTAGGGATGAGGCAGATCCTGGGTGGGGCTGAGCCCCTCGCCCTGCAAGGATTTGGGATAGCTGGGTGCCCACCAAATCCACCAAATTCTGTGTCAGGGAAACAGGGAATGCTTCCCTAGGGACAAATCCACCAATTTCTGTGTCAGGGAAACAGGGAATGCTTCCCTAGGGATGAGACAGATCCTGGGTGGGGCTGAGCCCCCAAACCTCCTCCTGTAGGGATTTAGGGATGGCTGGGTGCCCTCCAAATCCACCCTGTCAGGGAACCAGGGAACGTTTCCCAAGGGATGAGGCAGATCCTGAGCTCCTGGATCCCCTCCTGCAGTGTCCAAGGCCAGGCTGGAGCAGCTTGAAATAGGGAAAGGTGGAATGGGATGAGTTTTAAGGTATTTCCAACCCAAATCCTGCAGGGATTTGGGCTCTGTTGTACCCCAAAATATGACCGGAGGAGGGGACAGCCCCGACCACCAGACCAGGCAGAGACTGAGACACGGAGGGAGCAAAAAAGGGAATGAAAAAAAGGGAATGAGAAAGTCAGGAAGAGCACCCAAAGTTCCCAAATTCCCTTTTAGGACACGCCCATCTCCCCTGAAATAAAGGAGACAGAAACCACCGGCTCCCTTTTCCCACGGCAGCACACCCGGGGGCTCCCAGTGCTCCCAGTGCTCCCAGTGCTCCCAGTGCTCCCCGTGGCTGGGAGCACGAGCGGCTCGTGCGGCGATGCCCCGATAAACCCAGCGGCGCCGCTCCCTCCTCCATCCCTGCTCCCTCCCTCTTTCCCAAGCGCATCCCGGGAACGCCAGGATTGCTCCGGGGGAGCTGCGAGCCCGCACCCCGCTCCCAGAGCCCGGGGCAGCCCTTTGAACCTTTCAACAGCTCCTTTTTTATTGTTTTTTTTTTTAATTTAATTTTTTTTTTTGGCTTTACCTTGCAGCCTCTTAAATCAAACCTAACCCGGCTGCGGGGCGAGCTGCCGAGGGAAATCCGGAGCTGCTCGGGGCAAGAGTTAAAACGTGTTAAGCACCGAGATCCAGGCCAGATGTGGAACTCTCCGGGGCCACCACGGGGCTTTGAGCCGCTTGTTTGACACCTCTGCTTTCGACATTAAAAGTCCCAGCGGGGAGGAAATCCTCCTGGCCTGAGTTATGTGCTATTTACCGAGGGGGGCAGCCCTTGAAAGGAGTCCCAGTAAAACCTGGAATAAGAGTAAGTTATTAGCATAGGCTGGGAAATGAAGTTTGTTTTTTAAGGCAGCTGGGTTTATGGATTTTTTTTTAAATTTTTTTTTTTTTTTTTCCTGCAGTGCTGGATGAAGATAAAAAATCCTCCTGCCTCTGAGGGATAAGGGAAGGCTGGAAGTGTGTGAGAGCTCCAGGCTCCGTTTGGAAAAGCACTCACAGGCAATAAACCCCTGCTCTTCCTGCTCAATTGCTGGCATGGGACAGCAGAGGCTTCTCCCGGCCCCGAGTCAGATGTGGGGAGGAAAAATCAGGAATTACTGGCTGGATGCTGCAAGTCCCCATCAGGAATCTCCCCCTCTCTCTGCTCCTCTCCGTTCCCAGGTTTTCCTGTGGTTCAGTGAAGTGCTGGAATCCCTGGAAACGTCCAAAAAATGTGTGAATGCAGCATTTGGGGACCTGGCTTCACGGGTAGCGCTGTGGTTCAGTGAAGTGCTGGAATCCCTGGAAACGTCCAAAAAAATGTGTGAATGCAGCACTTGGGGACCTGGCTTCACGGGCAGCGAGGTTAAAGGTTTGGCTCCGTGATTTTTGGGGGTTTTCCAGCCTTATCCCAGTGCTGTGGGACAGATCCCAGCACCCCGGCTCCTGTCCCATTAGCTGTGGGATCTGTGGGATCTGGGATCTGTGGGATCTGGGGGATTTGGGATCTGTGATCTGGGGGATTTGGGATCTGTGGGTTCTGTGGATTCTGTGGGTTCTGTGGGATCTGGAATCTGTGGAATCTGTGGGACGTGGGATCTGTGGGATTTGGGATCTGTGGGATCTGTGATCTGTGGGATTTGGGATCTGTGATCTGTGGCATTTGGGATCTGTGGGTTCTGTGGATTCTGTGGGTTCTGTGGGATCTGGAATCTGTGGAATCTGTGGGACTTGGGATCTGTGGGATTTGAGATCTCTGGGATCTGTGGGACTTGGGATCTCTGGGATCTGTGGGATCTGGGATCTCTGGGATCTGTGGAATCTGTAGGATCTGTGGGATCTGGGAGCCATGGGAAGGGGATGCAGCATTTGGGGACCTGGCTTCACGGGTAGCGCGGTTAAAGGTTTGGCTCCGTGATTTTTGGGGGTTTTCCAGCCTTATCCCAGCGCTGTGGGACAGATCCCAGCACCCCGGCTCCTGTCCCATTAGCTGTGGGATCTGTGGGATCTGGGATCTGTGGGATCTGGGGGATTTGGGATCTGTGATCTGGGGGATTTGGGATCTGTGGGTTCTGTGGATTCTGTGGGTTCTGTGGTATCTGGAATCTGTGGAATCTGTGGGACTTGGGATCTGTGGGATTTGAGATCTCTGGGATCTGTGGGACTTGGGATCTCTGGGATCTGTGGGATCTGGGATCTCTGGGATCTGTGGAATCTGTAGGATCTGTGGGATCTGGGAGCCGTGGGAAGGGGATTAAGGACCTGCTCCTGCCTTTCCCAGCTCACTTTCACCACGATGGATCTCATTCTTTCTGGCCCTCCTACGTAAAAAATAAAGAAACGACCCTTAAGTTGCAGGAAAAGGATTTCCCTAAGCTCAGAGGGCTCAGGAATTTTTCCAGGGGTCTTCACCCTCACCTGGCTCAGAGGCCACCAGGCGTGGACAGAGGGCAGTGACAGGGCTGGATTTTGAGGCAGAACCCCCAAAACAGGCGAGCAAAGCCCTCTGGCTCCCGGCTCAGATCCTCCCCCTCTCCCTGAGGCCGGGATCACAAACCCCGAGGGGCTGACGTGGCTCAGGGCCCCTCTCCCCACGGATTCCACCCCCAGCCTCAGCCTCCCCAGGATGCTGGATCCGTGTCTGCACGCTTTTCCTGTGCCCTGACATGACTGCAAGTGGCAGGGCTGCTCCTGCCCATCACTGCCTGCCCTTGACTTGTCTTCCAGACACGTTGCTTTTTCTTTTTCTTTTTTTTTTTCTTTCTTTTTTTTTTTTTTTTTTCCCCCTCCCAGGGTTTGATTTCCTTGCTTGTTTGTTTTCCTCCCTGCTCGGTGTCAGAGCAGCTCCAGGGCTCGTTCTGAGGCTGACAGGACTTAAGGGATGGGGTTTTTCTGCTGTAGAGAAATCCTTCTCTTTGTATCAGAAAGGACACAGCCAGTGCTGGCTGGGGATCCAAAGGTGCCAAAGGCTTGCAGGGGAGAGGAGAGGCAGCTCCTCCATCCCCTCTCCTCCCTGGAGATCCCTCCTGAGGCCAGGCTGCTGGAAAGGGCTCCATGGCTCAGGGGGAGCAGAGAACTCCTAAAAATACCCGGGAGGCAGATGTTCTAGGGAGCTCTGCTCACAAAGAAGTACAAATAAAAGTGTCCCAGGTGTCCCGGGGCTGTCCCAGGATTCTCCCAGGGCTGTCCCAGTGCTGTCCTGGGTTTTTTTTAGGATTGTCCCGGGGCTGTCCCAGGATTCTCCCCTTGATGTCCCAGTGATGTCCCAGTGCTATCCCAGTGCTGTCCCAGGATTCTCCCAGCACTGTCCCGGGGCTGTCCCAGGATTGTCCCAGTGCTGTCCCGGGGCTGTCCCAGGATTCTCCCCTTGTGTCCCAGTGCTGTCCCAGTGCTATCCCAGTGCTATCCCAGCACTGTCCCAGGGCTGTCCCGGGGCTGTCCCAGGATTGTCCCAGTGCTATCCCAGCACTGTCCCAGCGCTGTCCCAGCGCTGTCCCAGGGCTGTCCCAGGATTGTCCCAGTGACGTCCCAGTGCTGTCCCAGTGCTGTCCCAGGATTGTCCCAGTGACGTCCCAGCACTGTCCCAGCGCTGTCCCAGGATTGTCCCAGGGCTGTCCCAGGATTGTCCCAGTGATGTCCCAGTGATGTCCCAGTGCTATCCCAGCACTGTCCCAGGGCTGTCCCGGGGCTGTCCCAGGATTCTCCCAGTGCTATCCCAGCACTGTCCCAGCGCTGTCCCGGGGCTGTCCCTCTCCTGAGTCACCCAGGCCCTGGGCACACTCCCTGCCCTGCCCTGCCCTGCCGTGCCGCAGGTTCCCATGGCCAGCAGCTTCTCTGTGCCCGTCCTGACTCAGCCCGGACCTGCCGGGCTGGCCCAGCCGGTCTCTCTCAGGTGTGGCCGCGTTATTTGCTCGCTGATTACCGGAATAAAACCATCATTAACCCGCTGCTGCCACCCCGCCGGGCGTGTGCCTCCCGTCTGCAGCCAGCCCCTGTCCCTGCCAGCCCCGGGGGTGCCCTTTGGGGCTGCATCCCTGCTCACAGGGCACCTCCGAGCCCACACTTCCCAGGTTTGTGCCTTATCCCATTCCCAGGAGTGGGATGGGAAAGAAGAGGAGGAAGGATGGGGCTTGGAGAGTGCCCAGAACTCAGCACTGGCTCCATCTCTGTAAGAAAAGGGGGGAAATGACATGTTAAATTACATGTTAAATTACATGTTAAATTGCATTTCAAATGACATTTTAAATTACATTTTAAGCTGATGTATTCCTTGCAAACGCAAGCACAGCTGGGTTTCTCAGGGCAGGGATTTGCTGGCTTTGTCCTGCACAAATGTCCCATCCCAGAGCTCAGGGCTGACCCCACACCCACATTGTGGCACTGGCACGTGTGTCCCAGCCCTGGGGGAGTTCTGCATCCTGGGAAATCCCTGGAAGCAGCTTTGGGCTGAAAGAGCTCCTTGTGTGGCTGGGACAGCAGCGCCCGACATGTCCCCAGGGCTGGCGCTGTCCCTGCTCCTCCAGCTGTGCCACAGTGACCCCAGAGCTGTCCCCAAAATTCCCTGCCCCTAAGGCTGGCCCAGCTCGGGGCTCACACCTGGCCAGGCGTGGGGGTGGCACACGGGGACCCTGCAGAGGTGACAGAGGTGACAGAGGTGACAATTCCCTCACACACTGCCAGACCCCGGGGTTATTTAGCAGCAGCCCTTCCCTCCACCTTTGGAGATTTAATGCATTCCAGGGAAAGAAAAGCACAGCACTCCCAGAAATTAATTTGCAGCCACTCTGCAGAATTTATTTTTTAAAAAATCAGATTTCCCCCGTTTTAAGCAGCGATTCCTTCTCACTTTTTTTTCCCCTGTGACACCAAATCATGCACTGTGACATCCCAGAGGCTGCAGAGCTCTGCTGCCAGCTGCTGCTGCTGATGTGCAGCCCCAGGGATGCAGCCCAGGTGTGGGCCAGGATTGACTCTGCCTCTCCAAAACCACTGAAAATTCCCCAGCAGGACAGGCTGGGAATATCCTGGAGCAGCCCAGCCCTGCAGAGAGCAGCTGACATTTCCACCAGGCTGAAAGCAAGGAGGATTTCTGGAGGAAAGGGGGTAAATTTGGGTCAGTGGTGCTGCTTGCTGGGAGCAGGGCAGGAAGTGGCTGTGTTTACAGGGCTGGAGTTGTTTTTTTCCTGTGGCACACACACGGAATGCTCTCGGAGCCTGGAAATGGTTTTTATGGGAGACAGCAATTATCCTGCAGGGTGAATTAAAAAAAAATATTCGTGTGGCAAATGAATTTGTAGATTAAAAAATAGCCGGCTTCTGATTGTAACAGCGTGAATTATAACTTCTGTATCGTCACACGAGACTGAAAATGGAATAAAAGTTTTAAAAACACCTCTCATTACCCCGTATCCAAGTCCAAAAAAATCTTCATCCGGCAATTTGGAGCAGAAAGCTTTTGGATATGGAGAGAGCAGCAGGCAGCAGCTTTGGGAAAGGATTTCCCAGAGGGTCAGGTGGCGTGGGAGGCTGGAGCAGCCATCTGGGGAGGGAAGGAAGGCAGCAGAGGAGGAAAAGGCCCTTTATGACCAGCCCAAATGTTAAGGGCTGCGAGAAACGCGGGAATGATCCCATTAAGGACCAAATGGATGCCATAAACCGGGATTTTCTCCTTTCTTTGGGCTTGTTTCTATTGCTTTCATCCCAATCAAAAACATTCTCAGCCTTCTGCTTTGGCTTTGTGGCTTCGCCAGGGTCGGAGTTCCTTAGGGTGGCCTTTTCCTCGTGGTGAGAATTCCCACATTTCCAGGGGAAAACTCCCCTCTGGCAGCAATCCCAAGGAAAAGCTGAGCCGTGGCTTCCTCCCTCCACGATCCCTGATGCTGAGGAGCAGGAGGGATGTTGGGATAATCAACAACGAACGGGAGGCCAGGGCTCCTTCCCAAACTGCGGAATGCCGGGATGCGAGGCGGGATTGGCGTCACTTCCTCCCCTCCAGCCTCACCCCAGCACCTTCCTTTTCTCTTCCCCGCTGATGAAACCATCCTGCTCAGGCCTGGGGATGTCCTGCATCGCCCAGATCCTGTTTAGAAAACCAAACCCGCCGGAATTCCGGGCTGGGATGGGAAAATCCGGGACGCCACGGGCTCCTCTTGCAGCTGGAAGCCTCCGGCCAGGTTTTCACCTCCCCTTTTGCTTTGTGTTGTTTCTTCTCCTGCTCTCTCACCGGCTCAAGAAGAGCAATTTTCCTTTCAAATGCAAGGCCTGGCCATAAACTTGGCAGGAAAATCCCTCCCAAGCAAATGGCAAGGGAAGGAGAGGGAATTTTGCTGTCCTGGGGGGAGTTTTGCTGCCTGCCTGCCCTCCATGGATCCAGCTTAATACTCCTTCAAAAACCAATTTAAAAAACCCCAAGCCAAGTCAAAACAGGCTGATAAATATCCCAAATAAAGAATTTCAGAATTCCAAGAAGAGCTGGCTTTTCCTGGGAGAAGCCGGGAGATTTCAAACTCAGGCGTTAGATCTCCAGCTGAGAACAACTCTGGGGTGTATTAATGAAAATATTAATGAAAATATTATTGAAAATAAAGCCTTTTTTTCCCACACAAGGGCGATTTCACTGGTTTACTTGCCATCATTTTGAAGACCCTGCTGCAAAGGTTTTTGCTTGCACCTCAGGCACCTGCAGGAGTCAGGGCAGAGAAAATGATGGAATTTCTGTATCCCAAGGAGATGTTGGAAGGGATCTCCTGGAGAGCAGCCTCTGGGATGGGTCTGTCGCACTCCTGGCTGCAGGAATTCCCTCTCAGAGTGCCACAAGACAAGACGAAACCCTGGAACTTTTTGTCTTCCCAGTCCTGGCTGCAGGAATTCCCTCTCTGAGTCCTGCAACACTTCGAGGCAAGAGAGATCCTGGAATTTTTGCTCTCCCAGCCCTCATTACAGAAATTCCCTCTCCAAGTTCTGTGACACTCCTGAGGCAAGAAGGACTCCCGGATTTTATGTTTTCCCAGTCCTGGCTGCAGGAATTCCCTCTCCAAGAGCCACAAGACAAGATGGAACCCTGACATTTGAGACAAGAGGGAGCCCTGGATTCTGAGACAAGAGGCACCCTGGAATTTTTGCTCTCCCAGTCCTGAGTGCAGGAATTCCAAGTGCCACAACACCTTGGGACAGGAGGAAACCCTGGAATTTGTGCCTGCAGCCACCAAACTGCCAGGAAATAAGGGGCTAACGGGCCCTGGTGGTGCAGCTGGACACGAAGTCACACCCCGAGATGAAAGGGGGAATGCTGCCCATTCCAGGCCCTTCACACCAGCTCCAGGGGTGGGGAGGGCAGCGAGGAGGAGCTGAGCTTTGATAGCACCCCCAGCATCCTGGCTCAGCCACCTTTGGGAGATATTCTCCTCTCCAGGCACAAAAATCCGCGTTTTTGCGAGCGTCGCGACGTTTGGTGCATCAATTATTGAAGGGATTTTTCATTTGCCCTGCTGAAGGAAGGTTTTCTTTGGGAAATTCCTGATTTTAAAAGATTATTTTCTTGCCCGGTTTGGCCAGTTTGTTCTCCCTGCACAGCACTGGTGTGGCAGCTTCTTTCTGGTGACTTTTATGAGTCTGACTTTCAGATTCCGTCACCAGAGATCCAAGCCCAGGGCTCTCCCTCAGACTTGGAGGAAGAACAGCCCAGGATTAAGTGTCCACATGCAAATCCCGCCGGTTTGTGGGGTCACTGAGCAGAGCTGGCAGGTGGGGCCTTTACCAGAAATCAGCTTTCACAGTCACGAGGTTCCTGCTGTGGTCAGGGAGGGACAACAACGCAAACCCAGCTGCTCTGACACCTGAGTCACCTGGAAAAAATGGGATTTGGGGGTGGGGTGAATATCCCTTGTCCCTTGTCCCTGTGGGACATGTTCAGTGCCCGAGGTTCCTGCTGTGGTCAGGGAGGGACAACAACGCAAACCCAGCTGCTCTGACACCTGAGTCACCTGGAAAAAATGGGATTTGGGGGTGGGGTGAATATCCTGCAGTCCCTTGTCCTTGTGGGACGTGTTCAGTGCTGGCTGTGGTACCAGGGGGGATCCAGGTGGGATCCAGGGCCAGGGGGACCCTCAAAATCCCCCTTCAAAAGCTGGGAATGTTCACCGGGAGAAGAAAAGGAGAGCTCAGAGCCCCTTCCAGTGCACCTGGAAAAAATGGGATTTGGGGGTGGGGTGAATATCCCTTGTCCCTTGTCCCTGTGGGACATGTTCAGTGCCGGCTGTGGTACCAGGGGGGATCCAGGTGGGATCCAGGGCCAGGGGGACCCTCAAAATCCCCCTTCAAAAGCTGGGAATGTTCACCTGGAGAAGAAAAGGAGAACTCAAAGCCCCTTCCAGTGCCCAGAGGAGCTCCAGGAGAGCTGGAGAGGGACTGGGGACAAGGAATGGAGGGACAGGAAAAGGGGGAATGGATCCCACTGCCAGAGGGCAGGGCTGGATGGGATATTGGGAATAAATTCCTCCCATGAGGGTGATGAGGGGCCAGGATGGAATTCCCAGAGAAGCCACGGCATCTCCATCCCTGGAAGTGTCCAAGGGTGGGTTGGGGCACCCTGGGATGATGGAAGGTGTCCCTGCCCATGGCCCTGGTTGGGATTTCAGGTCCCTTTGACCCCAAACCATACTGGGACTCCCAACACCGGGAGCTCTCCCCGCTCCGACCCGCGCCCATTCAGCTTCCAATCAAGTGGAAAGCAAACATCTCTGGGACATGGAGAGCCTTTTCTTCCTGCCTTTATCTCCTTCCTCCCCTCTCTCATTCTCCCTTTAGTGCTCACAGGCTGAGATTTCAGCGGGAGCAAAGCCCCCAAACAAGCGGGGGGAGAGGCCTAGGCCTGCTGACTCGGCCTAGGCATGAATAGGCCCGGGCCTAAGCGGGCCGGGGACCAAAAAGGGGCTGAGGACTGCTCATTGTGGGGCTGCTCGGGGTCAGCACGGACCATATGTCACCATTCCAGTGCCAGGGTCTCCATGGAGCCCCCTCGGCCCGGCCCTTTGTCGCCGTGTCCCCCCAGATATATTCATGGCCTGGCCGGGCCGTGCCCGGGGACAGAAACAAATTGCTACAAGGCAGGCCCACCCCGTCGGGCTGCCAGCAGCAGACAATCATAAAAGGCCAGTGCAGACTGTTTAAAAGCTGGAGAAAGGGCCGGTTGCCATGGCGATGGGATGGGAGGCCTGTTGCGGCCCATTAAACTCCAATCACATGTAAATTTATCCCCAGGCCTCCAGCGAGGGGGGACCCCCAGAGCTGCAGAATAGCCCCCGACAATAAGCAGTTTGTTTATCAATTCAGGTGCCGTTTAATTGGCTCCATTCAAGCCCCTCTTTGTTTAAAGTAATAACCTTTACAAAGCCCCACTGATTTATCATTTCCAGCACTCCATTAGATGGGCTTCTTGAAATCCTTGCAACCACCTCATCTCCTGGGAGAATAAATCAAGAGGGGATGCTCCGAGGTGGTACCCGCGGGTGGAGGGCTCTGGAATCCCTGAGCAGTTTCCCGGGATCTCTTCCATGGCTGTGTCTGGAGCAGCTGGAATGACCTTGCTGTAAACTTTGCTCCTCTGCAGCCTGGAGGAGTGTGAAGGTCACCCTGGAGGTTTGCAAAGAGACGGAGAGAAAAACATCCCCGAGCTGATGGGCAGCAAGGGAAAACTGATTTTTAGTGAGGATCTTAATGGAGGAGGAGGAGGGTTTGCTCCTCTGGATGGTTTTTAGGGGATGTTTTAAGGTGAGGGAAGTGGCGGAGAGGCTCAGAGGGATGCCACAACCAGAGACACAAAGAAATCATGGATTCCCCATCCCTGGAATTGTCCAAACCAAGGTTGGATGGAGCAAGGTGGGACAGTGGGACCCATGGGATGGGTGGCACTGGATGACCTTCAAGTCCAATCCAAACCATCCCACGAAGGGCTCAGCGGGTTCTTTTTTCACTGCTCCTAAACACCAAGAAATGCAGAGTTAGTGACAGCCAGGGATTGATGGACATCCAGGGATTGATGGACAAGGATTGATGAATATCTGGGGATTGATGGATGTCCAACAGCACAGCCAAGAGCCAAGAGTGGCAGACAAGCCCCTGGGGGAAACCTGTGCATCCTGCACCTCCCATTCCACAGATCCCACTGGAATTCCCTTTATTCCTCTTGTGCAGAACGGGGCTGATTGGGGCTGGAGCCTCTCCTCGTGGGAGTCCCTGGGCTGCTCAGTAACTTCAGCTTTCCCCTCAGAAATTGCTGGGAAAAGGTAAAAATGGAGTCTCCAAGGGGACAGGAATGAGGAAAGCAAGAGGGACATCAAATGTTTCTGGGCTGGGTGGCAGCCGCGTTGGGCTGGCTCTTTAACCCGTCAGCA